AAGCCATTAGGTTTGTGATCATTTGTTACAGCTGCAACAGGAATGAATACAGAGCCATGTCTGGTTCGCTCACTGTTCCGTACCAAGGCTCTGTAGAGAAGCTGGTACGGAGCAAATGCTGATAAATACATGCTAATGAGGTGAGTGGATGAATGCAATCTGAGGGCCAAGACGACAATTTAAAGAAGAAAAACTGCAGCCCTTCATGAAATTCAAGTCGTTCATTCATTCATCCAACAAACATTTCATTAGTGCCTGTGGTAGTAGCCAATGTGTTGGGCTTTGGGTATAGAATGAATGAAGCAGAAGTGTTTCCTGTCTCATGGAGCTGGCATTAGGATGGAGGGGACAGACAGTAAAGAAGTAAGTGAATGAATATGACCATGGTACAGAGTGACCAGTGTCAAAGAAAGTGAGACAGTGATGGCAGGAGGGTTCTGGAGGGGAGGAAGCAAGTGAACCCAAGTGGCCAGGCCCAAATAGGATCTCGGAAACCCCACAAGCTCTGCCCGAGGCAGATTCTACTTCCTGGACTCTCTCTGAGGCATGAGGGTTTGCCATTTCCTGGAGTGGTTGATGTGCGTGTATGAAGATGGTACAAGGTGGCTCCAAGGAAAGAAAGTGCTTGAACTCCAGTCTCAGAAACCCACATGACAAAGCCTTACAAAGCGTCTTCATGCATCTTGCCCTGGCAGACACCACAATGAGCCTGACTTATCTCCTTTTACAGACGAGAAAACTGAGGTGTAAATAAAGTCAGTCTGCTCAAAGCCACACAGCTTAGGAGAGACAACTGGATCCAAACCCAGGTCTGTCCACACAGCACACTTGACTCCACCCTTTACTGGGCCATGTCTTCATGGCAGCCAGGACTCAAGAAAGGGTGGAGAACAGTCCAATGGGCTCAGCCCAGTCACCAGTATGGCCAACTCTGCCTACGCCACACTTGGTTTTCTGGCTAACAGTTCTTTCTTCATGTGTCCTGAGGTTACCAGCTGAGATAAACAGCTGTCAACCCACAGCCCCTTTAGGACAAGAATGTTCTGGATCAATCAGTGCAAGGGGACACTGTTGTGTCTAAGCGTTAGCTTACCTTGCCTTCAGAAAACTCAGCATCTTGCAGAAAACTGTACCCAAAGCCTCATTTCCTACTCAGCATCAAGGGTGTGACAGCTTGTGGCACCTTGTCACCCTGGGTAATTTTCTGCCTGCATTTCTGAAAGGTTCTAGTTTGGCTTACATCCCAGGATTTCATCATTAACCTTCAACTGTTAATAATTAATAAGTTAATTATGAATTAATACCTGATAAATTGGTTATTAATAAATAATTAATATTTAAACCAAAGGCGCAGTCTCCATTACCTACATAACAGAAGTGCATAAGATAAAACCCTTCTGCTAGCCAACTGGGCATGGTGGAGCACACCTGTAATCCCAGCACTCAGAGGGCTGAGGCAGAAGGATCACGAATTCGAGGCCAGCCTGGGCTACATAGTGAGACCCTGTCTTAAAAAAATCCAGTGGCTGGGGATGTAGCTCAGTGGCAGAGTGCCTGCCTAGTGTGCATGAGGTCCTGGGTTTGAGCTCCACAAAACAAAACACCCTCTGTTCATAAACAGTTCCTATGAAGTACATGTGAATTCTTTGTGCATATACACATATGTGCACACGTGTACACGTACATGCGTGAAAACGTGTATGTGCTATGAGTATCTTTCCATGTTGAGACGTCTACACGGAGTCCTGTGTTCCTTTCAATGGTTTCAATGGCTGCAGAGTATTGGGGGACACAGGTATAAGACAGTCATTCCCCTTGATGGCTACTTGAGTTAATTTCAATTCACTATTGCAATGCAGATCCCTGCTGCCTAGTGGAAATAGTTCTGTATATAAATTCCTAGACCTGACATTGTCGATTACACTTAAAACTGTAACTGACAATACCAGATCACCTTTCCCAAAAGTCAAGGTGGATTCATATTCTGAATGCCCAGGTAAGTGGGGATTTTATCTTTCTTTACACAGCTCTGTCTTGGCCTGTACTAATTAGGAACAATTGATAAAAAATGATAAAAATGGTGGCTACAGTCACTTATTATTATGGTGCTTATCCAGCAATAATGCAGAGGTCGCACCTGCGGACATCTTTGGTTTTTTTTTTTTTTCTTTCTAATTTTTTTTTTTTTTGGCATTGCTGGGGTTTGAACTCAGGGCCAACATGCTTGCTAGGCAGGTGCTCTGACCAACCTGTGGACATCTTTAATGAAACTGTCACACTGCTAAGCTCTGTTCATTTAGTCCTTCAATGACTCTAAGGGGAGGGTACTTTTATTATTCCTATTTTACAGATAAGGAAACTGAGGCTGAGAGAGGTAAGTCATTTGCACATCATACAGATATTAGGAGGTAAAGCTGGGATTTGGAACCAAGCAGCTTGCTGTAGAGCTCACATTTCCTTCCTTCCTTCCTTCCTTCCTTCCATTTCCTCTCTTCCTCCCTCCTTCCCTTCTTCTTTCCATCCTTCCCTTCTTTCTCTTTTTGAAAGAAGGTCTCCCTGTCTATAGCCCAGGCTGGCCTTACACTCTTGATCCTTCCTTCTGCCTCACCTTCTGAGTGCTGGGATTACAGGTGTGCACCACCACATGGTCCACATTCTTAACTGCGCTGCTAAAGAGCTCTAGGGATCACTCAGTCCTGTCCCCAAGGAGGACCAGGGCCCCAAGCTGACAGATCATCCCATCAGCACAGACCAGCAGTAGTAAGCACTACAAACAGGCAAAGATCCCTCTTGGGGACTCTGGAACGAAGGAGCCCCTCCCTGGTATGTGTGTGGGGGGTGGTGCACTGTGGTCAGCCAGGTCCTGGTTAGTCAGCTCTACCTGTGAAGATGCCCGCAGCTTTCACGTTGGGTTCTCCTAAAAAGGGATCTTTCCAGAATCCTGGTCCAGCCACAAGCAACAACAATTTCAGGGGAAGTTCCCCGAAGTCAGTGTCTCCAGGGGCTACAATGGCTAGAGGAAAGCTTCCAGGCCTGCTTCCCCCAATGATTGGCAGTTCACAGGTGCTGGGTCATGGGTCTTTTTCCCATCATGCCCTTCCAGAGAAGTAGAAATGGCCTACATTGGAGAAGACCTGGAACTTTCACACTATGGAAATACCAGGAGACCTCCCTGACCACTCAGCATCACTAAACAGGACTCAAGTTCTGCTTCCTGCTGGCATGAAGTATCTTACCCATACGAGGTGGGTAAGATGTGTCTCAGACTTGAACTTAATAGCAACAAAAAACACCAATGTTTCAAGACTTCAAAATGCAACCTCTCTTTATGAGCAGAGCCCAAATCCAGTGTGGGTAGGTGACACTGGATTGTCCTCAGTTGGGGGACTGTGTCTGGGTGCTGCCAGGTACATGATGGGGTTCCCTTTGCCTTCCCAACCACTCATTCATGGCTGGATCAGCTTGGATCTCTGATCTGTACTGAGGACCAGGGATCCTTTACCCTGTGTAAACCCATTGACTCAGGAGGAAATCAGTCCCTCAACCAGCATTGTCCAAGGGAACTCGGTGACAGAAATGTTCTACACTGGTGAGTCCAAAATGGCAGCCTTATGGCTTCTGAACACTTGAAATGTGGCTAGTACAACCCAGGGATTAAAGTTTTAACTACATTTAACTTGAATTCATTTAAATTTAAATAGGCACCTGTGGCTAGTGCTTCCAAGTGGCCAAGCCAAAACTCATCCCACCACCTCCCTCTTGAAGTCAGCCATGGTGCCACAGATGTGACTGAGTTAGGAGAATCTGTTGTGGTTTGGATACGAAGTGTCCCTCTAAAAGTGTTGAAAGATTGGTCCCCAGCTGGTGGCACTATTGAGAGGTGTCCAGATCACTAGGGGTAACCCACTGAGGAGTTCATAGTCAATGAGTGTGTCCACTAGGAAGTAGGGCCTGTTGGAGGAAGTCAGTCATGGGGTGCCTTTGAAAGGTGTATTTTCTCCCTGAACTACTCCCTCCTCCACTTCTCCTTCTCCTTCTCCTTCCTCCTTCCTCCTCCTCCTCCTCTCCCTCTCCCTCTACTTCCTGGCTACCATGAAGTGAGCAGCTCTCCTCTATCATGTTCTTCCGCCATGATGTTTTTGCCTTGCCACAGACCTAAAAGTCATGAAGCCAGCCAACCATGGACTGACTCCTCTGAAACTGTGAGTTGAAACAAATCTTTCCTCCTTTAAGTTGATTTGCTCAGGCATTTTGTCATAGCAATGGAGGTCAAGGTAACATAGCATTCTTGGGGTCCTAGATTAGGAACTGGGTTAGGCTGGAGCCTGGAAGAGGGGGAAGAGCGTCAGACCACTTTCTTAGTTTGAATGACAAAGGAGGACAAGAAGCCACAGTATCTCCTAAGTGGCTCTTCCCCCATTGTCTCATAGTGGTGTCTTCTCCTGGGTCAACAGCCCGAATTTGAGCTGGAAGAACTTTCTAGAACAGCTCATCCAACTACATTCTTTCAGAGGCGAGAAAACGAAGTCCGAGATCACACAGCTGGAGTATGAGAGAGCTGGATCTTGAATCCAGGACCCCAGCCTGCTCGTGTCTGGCATCTGGATTGAGACAGGGAATGCAGCCCCGCTCAGGTGTGTCCTTGAGATGCCCAGCCCCACAATCCTGATGACAATTTCAACCTACTTAGCTCAAAGCAGATGTTTCCCCTCTGTGACTTAAAATTAGGTGAAGCCACAGGTTGCTGTTAGCTAAAAGAATCCCTGTACCACCCTGCCTGCCTCTGTTTCCTCATCTGTGAAATGGAGATAATAATACTTGTCTCGTGGCTACTCTAAATGAAGTAAGGCAAATTTTGACAACTGTCCTGCATAGAGTCAGGGTCCATCTGGGCACCTCCTTGACTCTCTCTGATTCTCAACCCATTGTTTTTAAGCTGTGGCATGAAGTCACCCCTCATCTCCGCCCCTCCAGTGCTATACACCTTAGCAGGGAGGTACCTGGCAGGTTGAAGTTCTTCGGCTGCCTGGTGCACTGTGGGGAAGGGTGGAGGGGAGAAGGCGGCGTGGCACTAGGAGGGAGGGGAGGCGCTGGAGAGGAGGGCGTGGAAGATGTCGTGGACGAGGGGTTGCTGCTGGAGTCTGGCTGATAAGGGACAGAGATGTGGTCCTGCAGGAAAAAAAAAAAAAGAGGGCAGGGGTCAGGGATGGGCAGGGAAAGAGAGACACAGAGAACAAGTGAGTTGAGCAGGAAGGGGCACCACTCCAGCTTCCTGAGCACTTCTCGCCTTTTCTTTAGTCACCAGATCCTTCCAAAGTCCCACCTGCTTCAGCAGCCTCGTCAGATTACATCCAGCTATGCAAGGAGATGTTTCTGGAGTCACCTTCCTGTTCACTGCTGGGACCTCAGTGTGAAAGGTTACCATGTAATGAAAATCACAGAGGTGACAGTCATGTGCCCTTTCGGACTCTTTGAGTCTGAAAAGCCACACATGGAGGTGTTCAGAGTATTCTCCCCATTCTGACACCTCTCCTCCCGAAGTGTTTATTAAAGAATCAACAGCCTGACAGCCCCGAGAGTGAGCATGGGAGCGAGAGTTCACCATCTTCATCCGCATCTCTGTTGGAATCTGCACTGTCTCACCTTGCCCTTGGAGCAGCTCCAGAGCAAGGATGAAGATAGAGTCCATTGTCAGAATGGCCTCGGTGGATTGACGTGGTGGTAGAACAATAGTGAGTGGGTAACTAGGACTCCCCCACAAAGACATGTCACCCAGAAATTCAGGATCTATTCGTATGTGGAGTGAGGGTCTTTTGCAGACATAACTAAGGTAAGAATCTTAAGATGAGGTCATTCTGGATTAGGTGGGCTCTAAATCCAATTATAAATATCCTGATAGGAAACAGGAAAGGACAGACACACAGAGAAAGCCATGTGAAGACAGAGGTCCAGATTGGAGGGATGCAGCCACAAACCAAGGATCGTGGGAGCCACCAGAAGCTGGGAGGGAGGCAACAGATTCTCCTTCAGGGGCTGTGACCTTGCTTGTAGTATTCTGAAACATGGACGTGCCACCCTTGTTTAGCCATCCCCCCAGTGGAGGTCATGGATGTATTTGCTACAAATATTTATGTACAGGTTTTAATTTCTCTGGGATGCAGATTCTGACTAAGAGGATAGTAGTATGATTGGTTTTTAAAGAAAATGTAAAATGGCTCTCCAGAGTGACTGTACCACTTCATACCAGCAGTGCCTGAGTGATCTGTGCATCCTAGCGAGGGCTTGGTGGTGTCACTATTTTTTACTCTGATAGGAGTGTAGGATCTCATTGTGGTTTTAGTTTGGTTTTCTCTAATGGCTAAGGAGACAGGACATCGTTTTACATGCTCTCTTGTCTTCTGTCTATTCTCTTTAGGTCTTGATTATTATAGCTATATAATAAGTCTCAAAATTGCAAAGGCTTTATTCTTTATTCAAAAGTGTTTTAGGGCCAGGTGCAGTGGCTCATTCCTGTAATCTCAGCTGCCCAGAAGGAAGACATTGGGAGGATTTGCAGTTCATGGTTAGCCCAAGCAAAAAGTGAGATCTCATCTCAACCAATAAGCTGGGCTTGGTGGTGAATGCTTGTCATTACAGCTACATGGAAAGCATAAATAGGAAGGAATGTGGTCCAGACCAGCCTCTGCAAAAATCCAAGACTATCTGAAAAATAACTAAAGCAAAAAGGGCTGGAGGTGTGGCTCAAGTAACAGAGCGCCTGTCTAGCAAGCACAAAGTCCTGAGTTCAAACCCCAGCAAAAAAAAAGTGAAAAAGTGGCTATTCTAGTTACTTAGCCTTTTTCATATAACTTATGTATTCATCAACAATGGAAAACCTTTCTGGGATTTCAATAGGAATTGTGCTAAACCCCCATATCAATTTTGAGGAAAGTTGTCTCTCAGCTGTCCTGAATCTGACAATCCATGAACATGTAACAAAGAACCAATTTATTTTCTTAAAATTCTGGAGACCTGGAGGGGGCACTGTTTTCTCCCTTCCTTGTTAGAGCGAGCTTTTTCTCTCACTCCTGGTTATTACTGAACCTAACTGGGCTTATCTGGGGGTGACTGGAGATTCAGAAAAGACACAGGATAGACAGACAGACAGAAAATGGGGTCAGGTGTGTTGGGCGCTTGGATGGAGACACCCAACCCTCATTGCTTCTTTTCTCTGTCTTTATTCTAAGGCCTTACTCCTTGCAGCTCTTTAAAACCTTGCTTCTAAAGTCTTCTTTAAAACCTTGCTTAAAACCTCTTTCCATGGGCTCCCACTGTCCCATGTTTGTTCTTAGCTTATCTTTAGCCTAATTGCTCTTAAAGTCTTTTGCCTCCAGGCTTGCAGCTTTTCTTCAGCATTCTCTCCTTAGCTTTCTTAAAGCCTCAGTGCTCAGATTGCAAAGTCTCGGTCCCCAATCTTGCACTGTCCCATGTTCTCTTTGGCTTTTCTTTAGCTTCCAAAGCCTATGTTAAAGTTCTTTCTTTAGCTTAGCTTTCCTAAGGCCTATGTTAAAGTTCTCGGTGCAGACTTTCTATCAACTCCTCCTTAGCCATTCTTTTCCCTTCAGTGATTTCTCTTTAGCAATTCTTTTCCCTTCCAAAAACTTTCCACACCAAAAAAAGCCCAAAGCAAAAAACTCAAGCCAAAGACCAAAATAAAACCCAAAGGCAAAAAGCAAAAGTCCCCAGCCCTCCTTCAGGGTCCTTTTATAAACATAAGCAACATTGCTGCTTCTCTGAACGCAAGCTTAGGAGATGCAGCTGTTCTGCTTTTTTCTGTTTGTGGCCGGGGCTGTGCCTATCTCGGCCTACAGATGAAAGCAATTAAGCCGCATCTTGCCTTGTTCACATCCAGTTCTCATAGGCTTTTCACAACCTACTCTCCACAGAGACCAAAGGTCTAAACCCAAGGTATTAGTGGGGTCATGTCTCAGCTCCTCCTGACCTTCAGGTAGAATCCTTCCTTGCCTCTTCCTAGCTTGTGGTGGTGGCCAGAAATCCTTAGGATCACCTAGCTCGAAGCTAGTCATCTGTCCCTCTGTCGTCATATGGTGCTGTCCTCTGTGTTTCCTTTTCAGCTTCTTATAAGGCTGAATATAATATTGAATTAAGGGGCTATGCCACACCAGTATGACCTCCTCTGAATATAATTACATCTGCAAAGACCCTTTGTCCAAACAAGGTCACATCTGCTAGTCCTGAGGGTGAGGACTTCTGCATGTCCTTGTAGGGGATACAGTCCAACCCACAAAAGCACACCCCTCCACTCTAGGTCTTTGTTTCCTTGTACTTGCAATTTACAGTTTTCAGCATGGTCATATATATATTCATGTCACATATGTAGGTATATAAATTTATACATATTTCTATTTTGTTCATTAATTATAAATGGCATATTTTAAACTTAGGTTTCCATACATTAATTGCTAGCATATAGATGCAACTATTTTCTGTATATTGACTTTGTATTCTGATACCTTGATGACTCACTTGTTAGTCCTAGGAGGGTTTTGTTTTGTTTCATTTCCAACATGTTCTTTGGGCTTTTCTACATAGATGTCATGTTTTCTTTCTCTCTTTCCAATGTGTATGTATGTTATTGCCTTTTCTTGCCTTACTGCATTGGCTAGCATTTCCAGCTCTAGCATTTCCAGTTAATGAGAGTAGTAAGAATGAACATTATTCCTAGAGGGGTTTTGCTCTTGAATTTGTAAACTGATGGGTTTTGCCCTTCAGCATTCATTGCTAGCTTCTTCAGCTCCCAGTCTTGGATATATAAAGCCATAAAACATCTCAAGAAGCCACCACTGTGTTGTTCCTTGGGTCCCTAGCTGGTCTGCTTTCTTCTTGTGTCTATTTTATACATAACGTCCAGGGGTTTTAGTTTTACTTAAAATAGGGAAGGAATAGGTCTACCCATCTGCCAAGAAGCAGAAAGGTCTTCCTTAAATTCTTAGTACACTTAATCCTGGCAAGAAACCTGAAAGTTGTGTGCTATAGCAGGAGGGAGAAATTAGGGTTCTGTGGTTACATAAAGACAAACACATACCTACTCTCCTGGATAACTAACTGGCCCTCCCAGCTGTGGAATTTTCTACCTTAATTTATCTGAAGGTAATTACATTTCCACGACAACAGACATGTTAGTAGAATAACATGTCAGGGACAGGCACAGCTAAGCTGTAGATGGTTGGGCAGTGACACAGAGAGAAGCTCTCATTCCATGGGCTCATGAAGTTTTTCCTGGTCGTGTGAAACTGATGTCACAATAGGGAGTGGGGACAATGAAGGTCAGCCTTCCAGGCTCCTCCACGCCTCTGCTCTTTGGACTTCTACTCACAGACTGGCAGATTTCAAGAAGTTTCCACAAGTGCTCTGCAAAGATGCTCCTTCAGTTACAAAACCATACTGGTATGTGCTAAGGATTGGTGTCCCATGAGCAGGGACTGGCCAGTAGACCTTGCTCAAATGACAGAGTGTGCTTACAATGAAAATGTTGTTCCATGATGGAGCTGGGATGGTACCACTTACTCCTCTCTCCTCATTGACCCATGCCCCTACAAGGTCCACATCTGTCACGTTAAATGGCACAAGGTTCCCAACACCAAGTGGACCCTTCCACACCTTCAAGGCTTGGGACACACTGACATCTCTACAAGGAACATCTGTCTGTTCAGCCCTGTCCTATTCTGTCTGGACAGAACCTATTCTAAAAGGCAGCTCAGATCTCTCCTCTGAGAAGCTGGCCTGACCTCCCACTCCACCAGGGAATGTACACTGTTCACTCCCAGTGCCCTGCAAAATACCCTGGTTTCAGTGGTTGCTTTCTACATGGTCACTTCTCAGCTGACTGTCTAACTCCAGATTAGGAGCCGCCTGAGGACTGCTACTATGTTATATTCATCTGTACATTCTTGTCACTTAGCAAAATGCCAGATACAGAGCATCCCTCAGTAAATGTGTACTGGATGGAGAAAAAAAGAAAGAAATGAAGAAAAGGAAGTCAGGAGGGATGGGGAGGACAGAGGGAGGAATGAGGAAGGTCTATCTTTTCCCATGACACTGTCATTCATCTTGAAATCTGCAGACTAGCACCAAAGCAATAACATAGAGGGTGGCCAATGAATGCTATG